GCTGTTGGTTTTGGTTTTTTTACCATAAAGGGACATGCTTGTGATCCAGGACCAAACATAAGTTCACATTGCTTGTTTATATCATATATCAATCCAGGAAGTTGTGATGGCAGATCAAATACTCTTCCACTGGGTTTGTCGAGGAGGCATTCCCCTTGACCAATACTTCATGAATGAAAAAAACAAAACATTGTGAATATAATGGAGGTATTTCAATACAGGATTTTTATCATAGTTTCTATATTTCTTCATGTTCAAGGAGAATTAACAATTATTTTCTACACAATTTAAAAACTAACATATTAAAAGGAGTAATGTTTTTCATTTAATAATACCCTCACAGTTTACAAAAGACTTTCTATTATTTTTATTTTACTTCATCTCTACAATTATGATATTTAAGGTTATAATTTTAAAAATAAATCAATCAATAAATTGTAAATAAACAAATTTAGGAAATATACATTCTTTTTTATCACACTTTTTTCCTCTACTTTGCTGGTCAATAATAATACTTCATTTATTGACCTAGTAGGTACTGAATTACCTAAAGGCACATGGTTCAAATCCACCAAATGCTCCAGAAAAGAAAGATGGGTAATCTTGTCCCCTGTGATTTACAGCACTTGGAAACTCATTAGAGGGTCAACTATAAGTCAGTTCCAACTTGGCAGCAATGAGCTTGAGGTGATTTTTTTTTGTTTTGCAATGTACAAGTTATCCAATGTGAAAATTGTTTAAAGTAATTCAGAAAGCATGTTAATGATTTCTAAATAATAGAATTTTAAGATTTATGTCATTCTCAATAAGAGGTCTCTCAAGAAAGAAGTAGAGCTAAGAGCTCTGGTTTTGAGACCTTGTCTATGGGTCTACCATTTGCTGGGCTGTATGAAACCAAATAAGTTATTTATTCTTCTTGAGTCTAAGTCTCCTTACCTTTGAAAACATAATGGCACTAACTTACAATATACTACTAAAATATATGATAAATAATATAAGTAGTTTATGTATATATCTTTCTCCTATTTTATCATGTAGTATCCAATATAAAAGGGAGCTCTGGTGAACTAGGGCAAAGAAACTGTGCTGCAATCCCAAAAGCACACAGTTCGAATCCACTAGCTGCACCGCAGAAGAAAGATAGGTAAACTCCTCCCATGCAATTCACTGTCCCTGAAAATCTGCTGGAGGGTCAGCTATGAGTCAGTTCCAACTGAAAGGCACATAACAACAATTTAATATAAAAGCAAGATGTAAAAAGTTTAATCATTTCAACTGAGTTGAAAGTAACAATTTGTTCTACTGAAATGATTCAAAAGTACTTCTGGGAAACATTTATTGACAAAAAAAATTAATTTTGACAACAAAATGAATATGTAACTTTTTTTTAAACTTTTTTTTATTAATTTAGTTTGTTTATTTTTCATTTCAATGAACATCTACAGAGATTTTGGAATTCCATTCATTCATTGTTGCACCCTTCTCCCTGCACAAACCCCTCCCCCCTTCCCCCCCATTTGCTCCTCTCCTTGAAAAGCAAAAGAAAAACTCCCTCATTGGTACACAATCCCCCCCCCCGCGCCTCCCCAAACCCCACCCCCTACCCCCAAATATAATCCACTCTGCAACCCTCATTGCATACTCCTACGATAAAAATAATGCCCTAAAATATAATACTTTTAGACTATTCTCTCCCCCATATGGGGGAATATGTAACTTTTAAAGTTTGTATTGAAGAAAATCATAATATCCCTTCCAAAAGAAGAATCATAACTACTGATATTTTTCATCAATTCCTCAGTAATTGAATAAAGCTACAATGCAATTGTATTACATATCAGCAACTATGCACTGTGTATTTTAATCAAGTTTCTTTAGACATTAATAACCACTGCTATTTATAAATATGGAGCTCTGATAATTAAGTGGTTAAATAATTTTACTACTAACCAGAATTTTGGTGGTTCAAACCCATTAGTTGCTCTGTAGGAGAGAAACAAATCATGTGCTTCCTTAAAGATTTACTGCCTTACTCTAGAAGTAGTTCAACTCTAATCTACAAGGTTGCTCTGAGTGAGTCGATTTGACAGCAAGGGATTTTGGGGGTGATGGGGAAAGATTAAAAATGTAGTATATATTTACGGTAATATATTCCAAAATATTTTTTTGGGGTTTTTTCTAGAGAAAGGAAACTAGAAATTTCTAATACTAAAATGAGAAGTAGGGAGCTCTGGGGGTCTTGTGGTAAAAAGCTGAGCTGCAGTCCCAAAGGCACGTGGTTCGAGGTCACTACCTGCTCTGTGGGAGGAGTATAGGTTATCTCCTCCCATGCAAATAATTGTCTCTGAAAACTCTCTGGAGTATCAGCTATGGATTGGTTCTTACTCGATGGAACACAACAATAACAAAAACAACAACAACAAAATGGCAAGCAGAATATACAGTTGGCAAAAAAAAGCATAGCATCATCATATTTATACAAAAAGACTATCTGGAAAGGATTTGAATTTGCCTCTTTGTTAAGTTTTAGTGAAAAAAACATGTTTTTACCCAAAATCATTTGGATAACAAGAGTTAGGAACTTGAGAATCTAAAGGCAGGGGGAATGACAAGGGAAGAAAATTTGGTTCAGACTCCAACTTAAGAGGTGGGAAGATTCTCCAAAGTGTTTGTACACCCACAGACTCTCATCCCTTTGCCTCTATCTTGCTTTTTGGGAACATCCCAACCTTTTAAAAAATGTATTATCTTGTAGCTTCTGCGAATTAAAAAATCCAGAAGGATATATATTGTACTTTTCATTAAGAGCTTTCCCTGTGAGGGAATCTTTCTTTTACTTTTGAAAGAGAGGAGCGAACTGGGGGGCAGGAGGAGAGGGCTGGGCAGGTAGAGAAGTGCAGCAATGAATGAATGGAAATCCAAATTCTTTGTAAATGTTCATTAAAATTATTAAAAAACAAACAAACAAACAAACAAAAACAAGCTTTCCCTGTAAGAGTTTTCATCATAATGAAGGGTCCAAGTAAAATAGCAATAATAAGGTCTGACTTTCTCCTCAAAAAAAAAAACACAAAAAACCAAAAACAACCCACCAAAACCAAAAAATACTGTAACAAAACTTTTTTTATACTTTGTAGAAGTTAAATAATATCTGTATAGTTCTTTTCTTCTTTTTTATTATCTATTTGTATAATAAAAGTAAACCTAAATGGAAAGACTAAATAAATAAATGAAACACCTTACAAAAGCACACAAATTTTCACCATTTAAATATTTTTAATTATTCAACTAAAATAATATACTTGAGACTTACTCTAGGAATTCAGTGATGTATTTCTGACTACATTTTGACCAGGTCCAAGGAAGTGTCTGGTAATTTAAGCTTGGGGCCATTACATGATACTCATCATTTATTACAATATCCTTACATTTAAAACTGTCATCGTGTGGAGCATTAAGCCTAAAAATAAAAACAATTATAATAGAACATTAAATTAGTAGGCAGAGTATGTAGATTGAAACTCAGATAATCTAGGTTTTTTCATAGTAACAGAATACTCCGCTATGACAGAATTTGTACTCTTGCTCCCTTCATGAAGCATTATGAAGATTATCATCCTGTTTAGGCGTATCTCACTTCTAAGAAATACTGCATTATAATTTTCAGTCAGCAGAATGGGGGGGGTGTAGCTTCTGGATACACAATCAGACTGTATGAATTTTAGCTTACCTCATCACAATATGAATATAACTTTCATGCTAAAACACTGCAAGTTTGAACATGCATATTCTTGTGTATGGAAAGATTAGTTAAAGGAGATACCACAGTAAATTCTAGGTCATTTACGACTGCTACAATATCAAAAGGAATTACTGAATTCCTAAATCATTCTAAACTGTGCATCTATTTTAAGTGAAACAGATTAATTAATGTTCTTGGTCTATCTATAATCAATAGGTAATGACTGACGGAACTAAAATAATAGAAATATTCCCAAATACAAGGAGTGAAACAATATTTAAAAAATTATCGGAATAGGGATGGACTTTATGGTCCAAGCATAAATTCAAGTGTAGAAGGTACTTTGCAACCACCTATTTCACCTTGCCTAAGGATATTTGTATTTAAGTCAGCCCTTTAATTAAACTACTTACCCATATCCTAGAGACATCAAAAGAGCTCTTACAAAGTAAATAAAAAATGTAATAAATGTCTAAGATGGCATTTTATTCAAGAGCAGTTTTCTATTAGTTAACAGTCTTAAAATCTAGCAATAGAGCCTCTTCAGTGTTGCTTCAATCCTTCAATTGCTCTTAGATATTCTTCCGATCCATTCCCCTCCTTTCAGCAAACAATACAACTGAGTATGTGGCTGATGGTGATCATTAACTTCAATCACACTAAAATAGACTTGAAGAGGCACTTGAGAAATGACTTCAAATTAGTCCATCTATCTGGTACACAAAACAACAACAATCTGTTCTGGTAGTGCCTCATGTATCGTCAGAAAAAGAAAATGAAAAAACAAGAGACACAAGTCTACAGTTTCAGTTCCATAATAGGAAATAAGAAAGGAGTCCTGTGATGGGTTGAACTGTGTCCCTCCAAAATGCAAGTGTGTAATGATACATAGAGAAAGTATGTAATTATCCTCCATAAACTGATAAATCAAATAATTATAAATGGATTAAAAGTGGAATTCAACATTTTTTGATGGCATCATGATCTTGGTCTGATGTAAGGAAAGTTTCCACTAGGCTGCTGTGGCCTTATTGTCTTTCACCTTACGAGACGTAAAAGGAGAAGGAAGCAACCAAAAGAGAATAGGGAGACAGGAGGGAGAGTTCAGTACTATCACAAAACATGCCAGCAGTGGGACACATCCTTTTAGACCCAGGTGTCTGCACTGGGAAGTTCTTTGACACCAGGGAAGGCAGGACAGTTGGAAATCTCCAAGGAATGCCTGACTTGAAGATGTTGGAAGGAAAAAGGACTTTCTCCCTGAACTGATAGAGAGAAAAGACATTCCCTTAGAGTTAGGACTCTAAACTTGTACTTTTACCCTCTTAAAACTGGGAAAGAATAAATTTCTATTTGTTAAAACTGTGCACCTGTGGTGTTTCTGTTATAGCATCACTAGACAAGAGTCCTGCACGTACAGCTGCAATCACTGTTTCACATAATTAGTTGGGGGTGTATTTCTGACTTTCCACAGGAGCTCCAAGAAAATAATGAGGAAATTATGGCCTCTGTTTTCAGAGCATAGAACCTCAGCAGAATGTTTAATAATGGAGGAACAGATAAGAAATACCCATTTTTAAATTAAAAAACTATGGAATAGAAGAGGTTAAACTTTAAAAACATGTTTTCATGAACATGGAATCTCCATGGGCCACATTCTTTGCTGAGGTTCCAGACTATAAAAGTAAGAAATGTGTGGGAATTGCAAGTATTAATTGGGAGAAACTAGAGCCTGTAGCCCCTGTCAGCCCTCCCATAGGATGGAAGAGGACAGTACCTGGTCATGGATAGGAAAACAAGGGATAGAGGCCAGAAGTGTTTTTCATGTAAACCAGAACAGTAAAAGAAATAAAAGAATTCCCAAGATCTAGTCCTTTGCTTAGTCTGTTGGTCTGACCTAACATAGATCAAAAATGAGCACAGTTAGCATTTCAGAATAAAAAGCACATGGATACTTTTTTTATAAATCAATGAAAATGCTGATTACTTGGTTAAAGATGGATTTTTAGGCATCTGTGCAATGACCCACCACAGGTACAATGCTGAGACCACAGAAACACTTACACGTGCCCAATTTCATGGGCGATGGTGAAGGCAGCGCTGAGTCCATTCTCCTCACTAATAGCGCAGCTCTGGAGAGGGTTGCACATGGTACCTACTTTTGCTAAACCTGAAAAATCAGTTTGTATGTGATCACAATGGGAAATAATGCCAAAATCTTAGTCAGAACAAAGGTTGTACATATTAATCATTGCCATTACTGTATATAATGAACAAAAGAGGTGGTCCTGAATTGTGAAAGCACATTTAATAAGATGAAAAGAAGATGAATGGAAAGGTTTGTCTACAGTTTTAACAAGGCTTTCTGTAAATTCTTGAACTCTTCTATGGAAGAAAATAATTCACAATTATTCACTTGCAAGCAACTTATGTGAACACAGGAAAAGCAAAAGAATTTATATTACAGAAAAGATAACATGTTTAGGCTACATTTGTATGAATAATAGAAAAGGGCAAAAATGTTTAAAATGAATGATTTTAAATAATTAAGAGAATAAGTAAGACAAAAACTAGTATGTAAAGAAACAGGAGGGCTAAAAGTCCACTTAAAAAAGAAAATAAGGCTTTGAACTTTTAAGCAATGTATAGACATTAAATCATCATAATAACAAAGTTAATATAAATATATGCTAAGTACATAATGCCTGATATTTAATAAACTACATATGTTTTTAAATACTACAGGAGTACATATATAACACAATAATTTTGTGAATACTTAAATTTGTATTCCAACTATGAAGACTGTATCATATATTATGATCCGTTCACTCCAACTGAAATAATAAGACACAACTGTACAGCCTAACTATCTAGTATGAATGGCCTTAGTACAAAAGATAGCAATCATTACAGATTACAGGGTATCAGAAAAATAGTATAGAATAGAAAACTCAAAATAAATATTTATTTAAATGACTTAGATTCTCTTATTAGGCAAGTCAGCATTTCTTTTTTTTCTAATTACACATATGTCACTGTTTTTGCTATGGTTATTCTTTGACAGTTGGTTATAAAAATATCTGCTCTCCAGTAAATACTATTTTCAAAACTATCATTTTTTCATGTATATAATGATCTTATACATAGTTATCATTCCTTATTACAAAAGTGGTTTGTTTGGTGGGTTTTGGTTGTTTTTTTGTTTTGTTTTGTTTTCATTCCAAAATCCCAGGACATAGAATAAATGCATCTGTATTAGCTACTGTGCTTTTGTCCTCTTCCAAAATGGAAGTCAACGTGAGGAATCTAAAATGGGTGGAAAAAAATTTAACAATTCATTTCCAGCACATTTCCAATGAAAAATAAAGATTTGTACTTTTTCTGTCCTCACTGTTAAAAAATCGGTCAAGCAAAATACTCTCCAAAAGAGCTTTGTATTAGTTATAATCAAGGAAGAAAGGAAGGGAGAAGAATTGTTTTACATCCCTCTGTAGGAAACATGAGGAAATCTATTTTCCTCCTGATTCTAAACTTAATGCTTGTATGTGCTAAATGAATTATATCATGAAAACTTTAATATCATGTATGTAAAAAGTATTATAAAAGTATTATATATTATTATTATTATCATTATTCCTTAATTTAACAATGTTAATAATACTGTCCTTTTATAATCTGTTTCTAGATGTCACTGTGATTTATTTTTGTTGTTGTTGTTAGGTGCTGTCTAGTCAAGTACCACTCATAGCAACCCTATAAAAAAAGATCTGAACCCTGTTCTATCCTGCGCCATCCTCACACTTCCTGACACAAGAGCCATTACAGCAGTCACCATGTCAATTCACCTAGTTGCAGATCTTCCTCTCCTTTGCATCTTATCCCTGTCAAGGAATAGCACTTCCCAGCAACATGCCCAAAGTACATGAGACGAGGCCTCATCACTCTTGCCTCCAAAAAGCACTCTAACTGTCCCCTCTCCAAGACATAGGTGTGGCTTAAAAATACAAAACACGTATGGGAACATGGAAGTGAAATCATCTATTTTTAAGTAAGCATCCAGAATACGTAACACTGAATAATAAGTGCTGTATAACGTGGGAGAGTCCAGAGAGCATAACTATCTCAGTGTCGTAAAGACAACACTGCATAAGACCATTATTGTAAAAATATAGGGATATCTAGTAAGATGTGTATAAATGTCCAAAAGGGGAAGGAGAAAAGAGAAGAGGGTGGAAAAGTGATAAAGGTAGAAATCCCTTGAATAACAGAGTTTATTGGGAAGATTGTGGGACAGGAAAGGAATGGGAAAGATTCAATAGGGACTTGAAAGTCTGGTATAATAATAAGCATTTTGTTGTTGTGTACCATCAAGTTGGAACCAACCCATAGATGACTCTCCAGTGGGTTTTCAGAGGCATTTAATCGCATGGGAGGAGACTGCCCCATCCTTCTCCCACAGAGCAGCTGGTGGTCTCGAACTTCCTGACAACATAGCTTTTTGCCACTAAACCACCAGAGCTTCCTAATTATGGTAAATGATTATATGGTTTATAGCGTATATGAATTATTGTATGAAAAACAATGTAAATGAGGAACTGTATAGAATACAAGCATATGAATGAAATACAATGCAAATTAATTACTGTATGAAAACCAATTTAATTACTGTATGAAAACCAATTTTTAAAAAGTAGTAAGATGTAGAAGGCTTATTCTAGCTAAAATTTATATTTACCTGCTTTTATCATTACAAAAATGTTCAACAGGGTAAGAGAAAATACAATTAACATAGAATATTCAAAAGAGTGTTAAAATTATAGATTGAGTAGAACTTAAAAAGCCACAAAACAATTGGCAGAGGAAGAATGGGAGATGTTATAAAAATTACATCAGCTGTTATCTACTTCTGTAATCATAGAAGATTACAATTTCTAAAAGGCCTTCCTAACACAGAGAAACTGTTGTTGTTGTTGTTGATTGCCTCCAAGTTGAGCATGACTCATAGCAACCCTATGCACTAACGGCCTGAAGCCCCTCTACAACTATGAACATTTATCAAAGTTCATAGAGTTTCTGGAGGCATGTTGTTTAGGAAGTGGATGCCAGTCCTGCTTCCAAACAGAGAAAACTAAGCCTTCATAAAACTGCCTGTTAAGGAGCATTGAACGCCTAACAATTTTTAAGAACTATCAAGGTTATACCTCAAAAATCTCTCAAGTTCTCCCTCTCTCTCTTTCTCACACACACACACACACACACACACACACACACAGAGCTCAAATCTAGTTGGCAATCAATGAATAAGAGGAAGATAAATTACTTAGCTGAAACATGCTAAAAACAGTGCTACGGTCCAGAGACGTAGAGCTTGCTAGATGAATTTTTACAGTGGCTCTGATGCTGAATGTTTGCCTTCTAGTAGAAACAACTGGAAATCTTCTCTGTGAGAAAGTGCATACTATTTGAACTGCAACCTCACCCTCAAATTTCACAAAGTAGTAGTCAGACCAAGATGGTCTTGCAGGTTGGCTATCTTGAATACTCGCTAATATTCACTCATTAGAATGTCAGCATTAGAATTTCAGCACTGAAAAATGTATGAGCTAAAACTACATGCAAAAAGAGACGAATCTTAGAAATACAGAAATAGAATACTAAGAAAACCATGGGAAACTAAGAATGTGTATAGAATTCAAAGAGAACATGCACATCCTAAATAAGCACATCTTATTTAGGAACATGTGTGCATACACATCTTAAGAAGGAGAAAAGAAGGGGCAAATATAAAAATTAGGATATTGGCAATCTTTTGAGGAAAAGCAGGGAAAAAATAAAGATACGAACACAGGCCACATAATATTACCAATGCTAAGCACAAGCCATAAGCCATATAGCAATGTTGATGGTGAGTAAATCCCATACAGCAATGATGAACAAAGGTTTAGTTAATCTGCTCATAGACAGCCAAAGTCAGTAAAATTGAAAAGGGGGAAAAAAAATCTTTAAAAGAACATTCTGAAGATTTCAGTAAGCAGTGAGAAAAGCTTAATTTAACTAGCAAAATAACTTACCTAGTGTGTCACAACGGTCTCTCTCTGCACAAATGTCTTCCCTAAAAAAACCAAAGATTTCTTTTGAAGCATTTTTAGAAAATAGTTTCACAATATGTCAGAGATTTTTTTAAAACCTCTCACTATGACAATTCGCAACCATTATCACAAATCAGCACCCAAATTCCAAGTTCTTATTAAATTACTTAAGAAGATTAAAGTAGAATTATGAAGCACTTGTGTATATCAGTTAGTAATAACTGTTATACAGGTACTACTCTTGTAAACAGTTGAAATTTAAGTAACTTGTTGATGTTGTTGTTGTTGTTGCTATGTGCTGTTGAGTCACTTGCAACTCATAGAGGCCCTATGTTCAACAGCTGTGAACCCTTCTCTATCCTGTGCTAAACTTATTGTCTTTGACACACCTACCCTCATTAGCAAAGTCACTGAATCAATCCATGTCATTGAGGGTCTTCCTCTCTTGTGCCATCTCTCTGCCCTTCCAAGCATGATGTCCCTCTCCTAGCAACAACTGGTCCTTCCTAGCAACAGGTCCAAAGTATGTCAGAAGAACCTCAGAATCCTTGCCTCCAAGAAGCAGCCTGGTTTCACCCTCTCTAGGATGAACCTGTTTGTTCTTTTGGCATTCCAGGGTATATTCAATACTCTTCTCCAACAACACAGCTCAAAGGCATCAATTTTCTTTGTGTATTATGCTTGTCTCTACCACTAATTACACGGTATATGTAAAACTGCAATTTTTGTTGTTGTTTTTGGGGTTTTGGGGTGGGTTTTTTTTTGTTTGCTTACAAAGTTCAAAAGTTTATAAACATTGTGCTTCACTCTATTCTTCATTCACATTGTGTTTCATACAGTCTGAATTATGTTTTATAAAATCAATCACATTAGACCTTTTCACTTGGATCCTTCCCATTTCGTTCTTCTGCCTCCCTCCACCCACCAAACTGTGCAAATCTGTGGTTTTACTCCTACTCTTGCTCGGCCGTCAGCTCCCACTCCTTCATTCCTTGAGCCCCCATACATATTTTACTAGTTATCCTTATATTTTTTATACTAAAGGTCTTATACAACATTTTTCTTGAACATCTAATGCTATTATAAGCCTGGCCTATTCTCCTTTCTGATAAACAATGTTCTCAGACTTTACTGAGTTCTTTAATATTACTATTATGATTATCGCTTCTACATTGACTAGTTCTTGACCATTCGATTTTATTTCTATTTCCTTTTACTCTCTTTTCAAAGCCACTGGACCTCCTATCTTAGCCCATTACATCCAATATTTGCTGCTTGGACTCTAACCCAGAGTAAAATCAAGGCTGGTGATGTACTACTATCTCCAAAATCAAGGCAACTGTAGCTTGGAAAAAGATAAAACAGATCAACTCTATTTTAGCTATTCTTTGTCTCAGAACTCTAGAAACCTGATATTTCTCTGAGGTTGATGTTGAAATGAAGGATTTATTTACTTTTTGGTCAAATGAAAAGAAACAAACTAGATAGAAATATTTATGCAACACCAGCATTGCATGATACAAATGTCTGAATCAACAATGTAGATTCGTGTTTGTAAAATATATATTTTACTGTAACAGAAACTGCTTTCAGATAAAGAGTCAGGGTTAAGAATAATCATACGAAAAACAGTCCGGAAATTAAGTCCTACATTGAACACGAAAATAAAGAACATCTTTTAAAAAGTAATCTACAAAATATGCAACCAAAGATCTCAAGAGCTCTTCTTTCCAAGTCATTGGAAGATCTAGTGGGGAATGATCAAAATCTGCTCTTGTTCATTTCCAGGCATTATTGCTGATTCTCTTATCTATCACTAACATGGTAGAAAGATTAATTTGCTTACTAACTTCCTTGCAACCTGACACTGCTACCAAAAGTATTAATAGGATATTTCCATGTATTGTAGTTATGTAACAAGTAGCATTAATGGCCAAGCAAGAAAGGAAAGGCAAATAAACGTAGTTAGAAGGATAATTTCTAGAACTATATACCTTGTGATAAGAAGAGCAGTATCATGGTGGGAAGGGTGAGCATCATCAAGAACATTCTGATTTCGTTGCCATAAACAAAAGTTGTGCAAAGTGGCAGTTGCATCACTATTGATTACTGGTCCATTCTAAACAACAACAACAAAAAGCAATTCAATACTATGTCAAAAAACCCACAGACTCTTTTCCTTTCAAATTTCTCAACATCAGTACAGTTTATCAAATGGTATGTTTATAGACAAATGAAGTGACATCATCTCTTCTTCATATATTTACTCACATATTTCAACAATACCTAAACATTACAATCAAGACTGACCTCTGTTTGGATATTCTTAATGTAACCATCCAAAATTTAAGACTAACAATATTTTTAAAACTGCACAGTTCAAACCCTTCAACCCTAGGATTATAAAATCAAATACTCAAATGCTTTTAACCATTAATTGTGATTATCATTTTTTGTACTTTCTACCAATAATCATTGTTGTCATTCACTTTTAGATACTTCTATTTTATTTCTATAATAAAAGAAAATCTTGTTCCTTCTCAAACCAAGTCATTTAAAATAAATTTCAAAACATGCTTTCTTAACAAGCAGTGTGTTACTGTGCTTTGGTAGGCTGTTCAATGTGACTTTTCTAGCCTTTGGCTTTTGCTTTCAACTACATGGCTGAGTGTTTGCTGTTAGGTACCACTGAGTTGAATATGATTCATAGCAACTCCATAAAGAACAGATCTGAACCCTGTCTCATCCAGTGCCATTGTCACCATCTCTGACATATCTGAGCCCATTGCTCCAGTAACTTAACTGTATCAATCTATCTAGCTGAGGGTCTGCTTCTCTTTTGCCCACATGCCATCTTCCCAAGCATGATGGCCCTTTCTAAGGAATAATCTCTCCTAGAAACATGTCCAAAGTAAGCAAGACAAAGCTTCATCATCTTTCCATCCAAGGAGCACGCTGCCTTTTTCCAAGACGTAGATGCTTGATTTTTAGGCAGTCCATAGGACATTCAGTACTCTTCTCCAACACCACAGTTCAAAAGAATCTTCTGTAATCCTTATCCACTGTACAACTCTCAGATGCATAGCAAGTTACCAAAAAGACCATGGCCTGAACAAGGTAGATCTTATGTTGCTAATACTGTTAAGATATATAAGACCTTTTTGGAAAGGAGCATGCAAATAAGGTAAATAAGGTATGTAGGATACTAATGAGGGGATTGGTTAGTTCTGACATATCACCAGGCTTACATTGAGCAGGTGAAGAGGCAGAAAATGAGAACCTTATTACTATTAACAAAGAAGCAGCAGAGAGTGCCGGGTGTCCTGTGGGCCAGGAATTCCTTCAGAAGACCACGACTGACTCAGACCAGAGCAGGCCAGACCAGACCAGCAGCAACAGCTGAGGTGGTTCAGAACCAGAGGAGGGTATGAGACCAGCCCACTTACACTAAAACTGTTGCCACAAGGACCCAGAGTCCAGCAACCTAGCCTAGGCTTACTGACAAGAGTACTGAGGAGGGAGTGTATACATAAGTGGCAAAACTAAAAGAACCTGCAGGAGCTCTAGTGGTCTCATTTAAGGAGGTACCAATCCAAAGGTAGGCAGTTGGTATTTACCAGCTGCTCCAGGGAGAAAGAATGGCAATCTCCTCCCATGCAATTTATAGCCTTTGAAAACCCCTTGGAGGGGTTATCACTGATTTCAACTGTACAGCACATAACAACATTACAAAAACTTAGTAACAGTTTTTGAAGTGCAATGCAGGGCCTAGGGGCAAAAGTGCAAAGATCATAGGTAAGCCAGCCTGAGAACATGCCTGAGAAGAAGCTAGAAGCTGTCCTGAGTGAAGAATTGTTTCCTGGGGGCTACCAACCTGAATTGTAAAATCTTAAACTTCCCTAGGAAAAACTCCATAATCATAAGTATTGATTGTGAGTTCTGCAGGGCCACTGTGATGGATTAGTGAACCAAGTAGCAGCAAATGTAAAGATTATTAAAGAAAGCAATGGGAGACAACGGGTGCTAGAATTGATAAAAGAAGCAGGAACATATGGTCATGCCTGGCCTCATGGGATTTAGCTTTACGTTGTTGATGTTTTGATGGAAATTCTTCCCTCTTCTATAGTGAAGATCAGACACCACTGCCTGTACTGTTTTATACAGTTATCTAAATATATTACTACTGTAACCCTACCACAACTAAAATTGCTAATTTTAGAGATGCCTCTTACCTGTTCATCGTGGAGTATAACTACTTTTACAACAGCTATATTTATAAGATTTCCAATACTTGAATCCTTGTAAATGGATGCAACCTGCAAAGAAAAGAAGTACAGGATTATATATCTGGAGTGATTATTTCTTTTCAAACATTAATTAGAACTGTTACTCAAACATAAGTTCTCTAACTTAGCTGCACATGGGAATTTACTGATTATTTTTACTACTGATACTCAGGGTGCTTGCTTAAACAATAAGATGAACTTTGGATGTGGAATATAGGCCCAGTATTTTTTCCAAAAATATTCAAGTATTTCAAACAATACCAATGTAAAGTCAAGTGTGAGCACATGCACCCTAGACTACTTCTCAAGACTGCTCCATGAACTAGCAGCACCCATATCACCTGGATCAGATTGGCAATTGTAACTATGACTCACATTTTAGTAAGATCCCCTAAGTGATTTAAATGCGGAAGAGTATACAAAGGAGCTCGGATGGCCTAGTCTGTAGGAAATTGCACTGTTAACTCAAAGCTCATGTCTCTACAGCAGCAGCTCTATAAGAGAAAGATAGGTAACAACCTCCCATGAGCCTTATAGCTGCAGAAACCCAATAGAATACCAACTATAAGCTGATTTCAATTTGATGTCAATGAATGAATGAAACATATGCAGTTTATAATTTGCTACAGAAAACAGCAGCAGAACCACCATTCCATCAGCCAATGCTGCTTCAAAGTCTAATCGGATTGTTGTGAACTACCACTCACTTCAGAGTCAAAGACATCTCTAAAACTGCTGACACAACAAGACGAGCATAGACAAAAATACAGGTTCCGGTACCTTTACTACTGTTTCAGTGGTAAAGTCACAGATAAAAATAAATAAACAAATAAAGTCACAAATGCAAAGCTTATCCCTACCTGGAGTGATGTCTCACCCTGGTGGTAGCATTAGTTTTGGCAAGAGTGGTGATAGATCAAGGGAGTTTGACAGGAACTTCAATTTAAAAATGGGCAAATGATTGGCAAATGATTGGCAGTTTCAAGGAAGTCTTTTAGCACTACCCTATACATCATCCACTTCAAATGGGGAACTATGAGAACTTACAGTTCAATTTATAAATATTTCTCTTTACCTGTGGCTTTTTCTAAAATGTCTACTGGAGAAAACAAAGTATTCTCCTATATGTTACTTCAGAGTTAGCCTTTGATCTTGGGAATTTAAAATAGATGCTTTTCTAAGTCAAATTACAAGGTAGAGTAAATAATGCATCACCAATGTATGAGCAAAGGCTCTTTTCCCTCTGAAAATGAAAAACAGTTGTGAATACTTCTGTGCTGCAGAATCTGAATGCCAAGTACTCCCCAGAGAAAAGAGCTTAAACATTATGAGGCTCCTAAATGGCTAATTACCATACTTAGATCCCAATGATATGAAGTACACGATGATAAGATGAGTGTTATTAGCTATAAAGTATAACCACAAATGCTCAAAACCACAAACATATTTAGAGCTTCAGAAGGAAACAGATGTTATAACTTTATTGAAAAAGTGATCATTAGCTGGAATTTGGAAACATATTACTGGTGTTTTGAAAGAATATGTTGAAGTATATTCTCAAAACATTGATTGCCCTCCAGTCCGAACTGACTCATAGCTGACCCTCCCGTGGGTTTTCAGAGACTATAAATTGCAAAGGAGGAGCACATGGTAGATTTGAACCACCTCCCTTTGAATTGGCCACACAGCTCATTCACTAGGTCACCGGAGCTCTCCTTAAAAATATATCATTCTCATCCACTTCCATGATAGCTTGCCTCTGGAAACCCTACGAACCTGGAGAGAGAATGAAAGGCACCCAAGCGTCTAGGACTCTCCTTCTTAGGGTCAGTATGAGTCGCCTGTGACTCGACGGCACTTAACAACAACATTGTTTTTACCTACTGAAAAAAAAATATCATTCTGTTCATATACTGTGCCCATTTTTCAATTGGATTATTCTCCTTTATCTTGTTGTGGTGCTCGAGTATTTTATAAATTCTAGATATAAGTCCCTTGTCTGACATGTCATTACCAAAAACTTTTTCCCAGTCTGTGGCTTCCCTTTTTACCCTGTTAGAGAAGTTTCTGGATGCGCACAGGGATTTGATTCTTAGAAGGTCCCATTCATCTATTTTATCTTCTCCTGGTTGTAAATTTTTCAGAACACCAAAGAAGATATTCAGATGGCCAACAAGCACATGAAGAAATGTTCAAAATCCCTAGCTCTGAGAGAGATGCAAATCAAGACAACCATGAGATACCATCTCACTCCAGTTAAGACTAGCAAAATTTAACAGAACAGCAAGCAACAAATGCTGGCGAGGTTGTGGAGAGACTGGAACCCTTATTCACTGTTGTTGGGAGTGTAAAATGGTGCAACCACTGTGGAAAGCATTGTGGCGCTTTCTCAAAAAGTTGCAAATAAAGATACCATTTGACCCAGCAATTCCACTACTGGGAATATACCCTAAAAAGACCATAAATGACATCCAAGTAGATATATGCATACCCATGTTTATTGCGGCTTTGTTTACAATAGCAAGGAATTGGAAACAACCTAAATTCCCATCAACAAACGAATGGGTAGAGAAGCTGTGGTATATTCGCACAATGGAATACTATGCTGCATTGAAAAACAAGGAACTCATGCAATATTATTCAAAATGGGTGACCCTGGAGGACATTATGCTGAGTGAGGTATCTCAGTCACAAAGGGACAAATGCTATATGGTGCCACTGTTGTAGAATGAGGCTGGCATTGGAGTGGGGGTAAGACTGAGAAAAACTGGATGAAATATGTTTACCGCATTGAAGTCTATGGGGGAGAGAATAGTCTAAAAGTATTATATTTTCGGGCAATATTTTTATCGTAGGAGTACGTAATGAGGGTTGCAGAGTGGATTATATTTGGGGAGTTTTTCTTTTGCTTTTCAAGGAGAGGAGCAAATGGGGGGGGTGGTGCGAGCAGAAGAGTGCAACAATGAATGAAGGGAATTCCAAAATCTCTGTAGAGGTTCACTGAAATGAAAAATAAACAAACTAAATTAAATTTAAAAAAATGCTAAAAAATATTCTACCAAGAATTAGATAAAATTAAAATTGGTTACAGTGAAACCTGTGAGAACTGTGACAAGATGACAAGACTGATAGTTTCCAACTCTGACAGATTCTTACCCTACACAGACTCCAGCTTTTGCTGTTTTACTGTATAAATCATAGCCATTACATTAAGCAGACTGAGTTTCAATAACAGTTATCTGACTTCTACAGGAATTAAATAAATTAATGTAAAAAAGCATTTCAAATAAAGTCCAGGTCTTAAGAGGTAATTATATCCATTATTATTGATACAGGCAGGTCTGACTCACAGTGACCCTACAGAAAAACAAAGCTGAACTGCCCCAAAGGATTTCCAAGAGTGAAATACTCCAAGAGCAGAATGCTACATCTTTCTCCTTTGGAGCAGCTGGTGTGTTTGAACTGATCAATTTTTAATTAGCAACTGAGCATTTAACCACTTTGCCACCAGGCTCCTTAAGTCAATCATAATAGCCATTATTATTAATATTGTGACTTATTAGGGAGAATTATACCTTCAAAACCCCAATAGAGGGTCAGCTATCAATCAATTCAAAATTGATGGCAATGAGTTTGAAGGTTTTTTTGGTTTTGGTTTTGTTTTTGAATATTCTATTCCATAGAACGTATCATGGAAAATGTTTTTCTGAATTTGCAAAATATCTTCCTGTTCCATCACACACTATTTTTATATTGTTGTATGAAAAATTTTGCAGTTTGGAATGCTATGACCATTACTCACGTGAAAAGTCAAATTGACACTGAAGAAAAGTAAAACAAGTCCACAAGACCAAGTCTATTCTTGAGTCTATTCTACCTGAATTTAAAAAGCATCAAGAATAGGTTTGAGGTACTGAACACTAATGATAGAGGAACATCAAGAATATCATCCAGGAAGGAAGCAAAAAGTTGTTACAAAGACAGTGGAGAAATAAAATACCAAAATGTGTGTCTGAAAATGGCACTTGAACAAAAAGAGGTAAAAACAAAAGAAATGCTGAATAAAAGAGATGAACAAATTTCAAAAGGAAGTTTGAGAAGACAAAGCAAAGTTTTACAGTAAAATATGCAGAGTTGGAGATAGAAAATAAAAAAAGGGAAGAATTCACTCAGCATTTTCAAGCTGAAAGAACTGAAGAGAAATCCAATGTTTGAGTTGCTACACTGAAGGATGATATGAGTAAAATCTTGAATGATCAAGAAAGCATCAGAAAGAAGATGGAAGGAATACATAGAATCACCGTAGAAAAAGAATTGGTAGTTTGAGAAAGTGCTTCCTATAACAGTAGATATATGTTTTCACAAACAAGACTAGTTCTTTAGGATTATATATTAATCCTTAAATTTACTTTATAGTAGTCACATTATTTGTCACAAACTTAATACACAATAGAGTATGAAGGTCTTTAATACATAGTAAATATTTTCAGAGTTAAACTAGAACTGCTGTTGTTGTTGTTATGTTAGAACCAACTTATACCTGATCTTCCAAGAGGTTTTCAGAGAATATAAATTGCACATACAGGAGGTGATTGTTCATCTTTCTCTGAGTCACTGGTGGACTCAAACTGCTTTTAGGTTGACAGTAGACCACTGTTGTTGTTATGTGCTGTCAGGTAGACCATGACTCATAGTGATTCTATGAACAATGGCTCTGAACCTTTGCCATATCCTGAGCAAACATTACCATCTCCAACACATCAGACCTCTACAGCTCCCCAAGTTATAAGGAAATAAAAAAGGAATAAAATAATTGCTCTAGGTCATATATATTTGGGTTGTGTAATAACATATCAAAGTGCCATTTTAATGTGTCATCTAAATGTTTTAAGGATAAAAGCAATAAAATATCAGCTAGTCAACTATCTCTGTTTATTTGATAAATTTACCTCATTATATACACTCACTGTACACTATCTCCTCCCAGGTGATTACGTGCCTATGAAAATCCCCTGGAGGGTCAGCTGTGAGTCAGCTACGGGTTGGTTCAAACTCAACAGTATGCAACAACAACAATACACTACAAGGGAGCTCTGGTAGCCTAGTGGTAAGAGGCTGTGTGCTGCAATCTCAAAGGCACATGGTTTGACTCCACTAGCTGCTCTACGGGAGAAAGATGGGCAATCTCCTTCCATGCCAATAACTGCCTCTGAAAACCTGCCAAGGGGTCAGCTATGGGTTGGTTTCGACAACAACAACATACACTACTATCTGAATTGAATTGTGTTTCCCTAAAAACTCCTGTCTGAAATGTACTATGGAAGTTATGTAATGATCTCCCAGTATCTGATAAACCAATCTGCTGTAAAAGGATTAAGGGTAGAATGCAATATCCCTCAATCTCATTACATTCTGATCAGATGTAAGGCACATTTCCCTGGGGTGTAGCCTGTCTTATCTTTTATCTAATACAATAAAAAGGCAAGAAAGGTAAGAGCAAGCCAACAGCAAGACCTCAGTATCACCAAGAAGGGATCACCAGGACTGGAATGTTTCTGTCTGGACTCTCTTGTCCCTGTGCTGTAAAGTTCCCCAACAGAGGGAAAGACCAAGACAAGACTTGGAAACTCCCTTAGAATGCTGGGCCTACAGATAGAGAAGCAAAGAAGCATTTTTCTGAAGAATCAACAGAAAGAGGAAGGCTTCCCCTAGAGTCAGCACCCTGAATTGGGATTTCCAGCCTCCCAGACAGTAAGAGAATAAATTTCTATTTGCTAAAGGCGCCCACTTGTAGTATTTCCACCATGGGGTTGTTCCTCACTGAGATTATCCAACTATGTTTACATGTATTGCGGTGTTGGTGAAAGTACTGAATATCCCACAGACTGCCACAGAGCAAATAAATCTGTCTTGAGAGAAGTGCAGCCAGGCTCCTTAGAGACAAGGATGGTGAAACTTTATCTTCCTACTTTCAGTATGTTGTCAGAAAGGGCCAGTCTTTGGAAAAAAAAAAGAAATTATGCTGGGAAAGGTAGAGAGACAGGGTCAGCAAAAGAGGGAAACACCTCTAAAGAGATGGAATGACACGGTAATTACAACAATGGGTTTTAACATGACAGGATCACAAGGAGGACACAAGGTAGAGCCAAGCTCAGAACTGTTTTTCACAGGGCCATTTTGAGTTGTAGTCTGTTTAGACAGCACCTTACAACAACAACAAAATAATTCCCTGAAAATGTTCCCGAAAATAATAGTTGCCTAAAAAAAAAAAAATAATAATTAAGTGACAAATTCTTTCTCTACCACAGCACTTAGACATTTATTAGGTTACCGAAAACAAAGAAAGAGCTTGAGAAGGTAGTAAAATTCTTCACTTAATTGTAAACAACCTTCTCTCCAAGTCGTATGTAATACCTCTTTACTCACTGTTCACAGCATACAGCCATTTCCTCACTATATCTAGAGCTTAATACACAAAAGCACTTTATTCAAGTTTAAATCATATTTTCTTGACTTTTTCTTATATTATCCAATAACAGTATTGAACAGTATTGTGTGCTTCAATAAATAAACTTCTTGTCTGCTTATAAATTGGTGGAGGGAAGAAGAGGGTGGAAATACAAAACCCGAAATATTCCATTTCTGAACCAACTCACAGCTGACCTGTTTGTTGTTTCCCAACTTTGGCAGGATCTTCTCCTTGTGAATGGAAATTTACCGTAATTAGCTACCTGCCTCTACAAGCTTCTCTTGTTCGACTAAAATCTACTCTTTTTATAATGGGACTAGAAATATAAGAAACAACACGAACAAGCATTGGTTTGTTGGTAAGTACTCTCTGAAGCAAATTTGCTTTCCATAAAGCCAAAAGGTCTGTTTTGTCTGCACAGAGCTCTGGGTATTAACTCTGCATTTAAACTTCCCACATATACTTCAAGACATGTGACAATGACCTTCCAACAGTAATGGCACTGATTTATTTTTCTCCAAAGTATATTTCTGTGGAGTGAGAGATGGCAATAAATATTATTTGCTCTCCCAAATACCTCAGGAATCAACATTCAACTTATCTGTCATTTACCAGGCTTCAATAAAACTGTAAAACTTACAAAATTTTTCTTTGATCTCTTCCAAATTTTTTTTCTATAATTATATTTTATTAATTTTCATAAACATTTACAGAGATTTTGGGCTTCCACTCATTCATTGTTGCACTATTCTCTCTACCCTCCTCCCAGTTTGTTCTTGTCCAAATGCCACAGTGCTTGTCAAAGCCAGTTCTGATTAATCTTCTTTGTCAGTGTATCCTTTGCCATTCCCTATCACTCCTCCCTGAGAGAGACTTCACCCTGAGTCATAAGGAAAAGGGGACGGCGTATTCTCTTAGCTACTTCCTGCTGAAAAGGGACGCTGTGGGTTTCAGGGTGAAGATCTTCTCTCACTACTCTAAAGGGCCCCTTTGGCAGTAGGAAACACATAGACTATTATGGAGATTGATTTTGGAATTCAGATGCACTCTTATTGATTGTGCTTGGCTGTACATGTACATATCCTTGAAGATGTATCATGGGGGTGTTGCAACCTAGAAGACACAAATTTGACTAACAAGTTATAAGTACATGAGTCCAAAAATTATGGAAAAGTAAAAGAAAAGATTCTTTCATTGTTTTACAAACCCTCCCCCAGGTCCCCTCCACCATGCAGCCCTCGCTCTAGTCTCCTGTGATGACAGAAATACCCAGTTACATCTCTCTTTTAAACGGTTCTCTCCCTCCTCTGTTTCAGTGCAATATACATTATTGAACCCATCTTACTCAGTCTCTCCCCAACCCCAAGGACAGTCCCATTCTACAACAGTGGCATCATGTAATATTTGTCCTTTTGTGACTGGGATATTTCACTCAGCATAATGTTCTCCAGAGTCAACCATTTTGAATAATATTGCATGAGTTCTATCTGTCATTTACCAGGCTTCAATAAAACTGTAAAACTTACAAAATTTTTCTTTAATCTCTTCCAAATTTTTAAAATGTCATTTCCTTCAACTATTTTTAATTGCAACATTTACTCCACAGTGCTCCATATAGTTAATACCAGAGACTGGCATTCTCCACTTCAATGTTCTCATTTGTATCTCTTCCTAATGAACCAGACAGACACAACTAAATAATTATATCATTCTTTTTGGGGTCACCAAAAGTTAGAATCAACTCAATGGCAATTTTATTTTGTGTATAGATATATCCTGATCAACTTTTCTTTTCCTAAGCAGAAGTATGATGTAGGAATAGAAGTATCTCCAGACAAGAGTTTTTCTGAGTAACCTGTATCTGTATAAATGTTGCAAGCAATATGTGCTCTAAAGGCCTGTGAGAAGCTCCAAGGTGCCACTGGAGAAGTGGTGCTTTTCAAGAGACCTAGAATTTAGGTCCTTGGATAGTAACAGCTCCTTGGCAGCAGTAAGTATTAAAATCATGTCAAGGCCTCTTGAGGCTTCTATGAGTTTCGATCCCAAATTCACCAAGCCATTCTAATTAGTATCTTATCATTTTATTATCACAAATGTATTTTTAAAGTAAAGGATCATGTGTCTCAATTACTGATTTGGACAAATGTGTAGTCTTAGATAGCACCTTGCTGAGCCCTCAGGACGCTATCATTTTCTTCCCTGTCACTAGGGGGCAGAAGCCATTCATGTGAGAAACTCAAGGATAGATTTCAAGGATATTAAATTGTTTTAGAAAACTGCCAACTAAAAGAATGAGATATTAATTGTATATTCATTTATTTAACCTAAGTTCCAGTAAAATTTTATTTTTTCTTTTATTCTCATATATAGTTCTTTTGGGGGGAGTCATGTTTTATTTCAATATGACAAGGTTAATAACTATTTTAGGAAATAGAAAAGCTATGTTTACTTACAATTGCCATCAGAGTTAGTATGTAGTGTTGTAAATTCTGTCCATGATAGCGAAGCATTTTCATATCAGCTGCAACCATAACTTCCACATATCTTGGATGTGATAAGAACCGTTTTCTCCTGGAATGTAATTGACTTCTTTCATTTTTCTGTGATACATTTTTTTGAGGGTATTGTAAAACTATTTTCTTTTTGGTATTAAGATCTTCATTAGTGTTGCTATCGTTACCAAAGGGTAAAGTGGTTTGCTTTATTTGACTCTCTAGGAAGAAAAGAAAAATAAAATAAAATGTAGAGCCATTAAACCGGATGTGACCACAAATTCTTAAGAAAACCGAATAGTGAAAAATATTTAATACTTACATATCTGCTTCCAGTATGAATCAATAAAAGGATAAAAAGAAATTATTATTCAAAACGGGATTGTACATTATCATGAGTATTATTATTCATGGTAATTAAAAGCTTATAAGATGTTTATATTTTTAGAGACTGCACTTCCAAAATTATATCTGAGTCTTATTTTAACAAGCATAACTACTTAACTATTAAGCTGAAACCAAAATAGAAATCAAAAATTAGTCAAGAAATCCCTATGCTCTTTAAGCATGTAAATTAAAGCCTTAGGATTAAACTTATTATCAAATAGTGATATTTGGTCATGAAAAAATGAAAATATCATACAATATAAACCAAAGCCAATTTGTTGTTAAGCAACAAGTGAAAAGCATAAATACTACTATAAGACCAACTCACTTTAAAATCAGTGGCTTTTCAAATCAAGAAAAAACAAATTGTTGACATATAATTTTATAATGACTTTTATTATGCTGTTTTTACATATCAATACCCCAATTATAGTCACTGAGCATTAGAAATTATTACAGCAACTATTTGTGATACCTATGCATTTATAGAAACAATTCCAAAATTCTTGTTTATGATAGTGGAAAATTATCATTTTCAAAGACATTAATTCATTCCATTTTTAATAAGCCATAATCCTAAAAAGAAACATCTTAAAACATCTTAAAAAATCTTAAACATTAAGTTTCCACAGAGGAAATTCTTTTTATAATTCTTAATATCATATGAAGTTTTCATATTACTGTAATCTTAGAACTGAAAAGGTATCTTTACAAAATTTGAAACCTGAGGGCCTAGTCCTAAAACATTTCTATCATATTCCTTCTCACATACTCAAACACTAAAATAATCATGACCAATTATTGAACCTTTGAGATATATCTGGTACACACAAATTTCATAGTTATCAGAAAGATGTTAAATAGCCATGCATAAGTTTATTCATTTGTCCATCCAAGTCATTTATTCAAAATAATTAGTGTGGACATACTATATGTTAGGAAATGTTTAGAAACTAAGAAACAAACTGCATCTCACAAAGTTTACATTTTGGTGAGAAGAACATAAATGAGTATGTATTTAAGAATAAAATTCAAATTCTAAATACTTAAATAAAAATTTGCAGGAGATAGGCACACACACACACACACAATGATTTAACTTTCCAGAAATGTTAAATTAAAAAGACTGATAAAGAATACAGTTGAAAAATACATAGAACAAGTAAAATTCTCATGCATTGCTGGTAGGGACGTAAAGAGGTACAATCACACTTGTAAAATATCTGACAATTTCTAGTCAAATTAAACATGTATCTATTCTATGCAATTTTACTCCATGTATATGTGCACGAACAATGAAAGTACATATCCCAAAAAAGAATTAAAAAAAATACTAATAGCAGCTTAATTCATAGTAGTCAAAAATGAGAACTAATGTCTATTCATAACAAAAAAGCAGCAGAGACCTAAACACCAAGTAGTATGGACCACCAAGAAAGCAAATAGATTTGTCTTAGCACGGATAAAACCAAGTTTCTCCTTGGAGGCTAGGATTTTCAAGTTCTGTCTCACATACTTTGTGCACATGGCTAGGAGGGGACCAGCCCTTGGAGAAGGACATCACGCTCAAAAGAGTGGAGGCACAGCGCAGGAGAGGAAGACCCCATGAGATGGATCGATAACAGTTACTGGGTTAATGGGGGTAAGTGTGTAAGAGTCAGTAAGACTGACTTGGGACAGGGCAGGCTTCAGAACTGTTGTAGAGAGAGTCACTATGAGTTGCAGGTAACTTGATGGCACATAACAATAATACTATGGAGAGATGCTCCCCTGTCCACAGTCAGCATCTACTAGGAAAGAAGTTAACTGTGTTGGTTAATGAAGCAGCATCTAATATTGTTTTCAGCATGGGCTGTAAGCAGCCCCTCTACTGAGAAGAAATATGCCTTCATCCTGCCTGCAAGAAGCACTCTGCCTGCACTTTCTTCAAAACATATTTGTTCTTGTTTTCAATACATGATATATTCAATACTCTTCTCCAACACCATCATTCAAAGGCATGAATTCTGTCATCCTTATTCATAGCCTAACTCATAAAGGCATAGAAAGTAATCAGAAAGACCATGGCCTGAATCAGATGCACCTTAGTCCTCAAACTGGCATCAGTGCTCCTCAATAATTTGGAGAGGTTCTTGACTTCAGATTTTTCCAGTGCTATGTCTCCTGATTTCCTGGCTGCTTGTACTAAAGTTGTTGATTATGGATCCAAGTAAGAAGAAATCATTGGCAACTTCAATCTTTTCTCTATCTTTCATGTTGCTGGCTATCATTCCAGTGGTAAGACTTTTTGGGTTCTTGACGTTGAAATTCAATCCATATTGAAGGGTATAGTCTTTTATTTTCTTGAAGCAACTGCTTCAAGTCTTCCTTATGTTCAAGCAAGCAAAGTTGTGTAATCTGCCTAATACTGGTTATTGATGAGTCTTCCATGGTCCTGATCCCACTTTCTTCTTCATAGAGTCTAGCTTCTTAAATGTTTTGCTTAGTATACAGAGTTGTGTCAAGAAATCTGGAGAACAACCACTTGGCCAGCTGACAGGAAGAGATCTACATTTGTTCCCATCCCAAAGAAGGGTGACCCAACAGAGTGTGGAAACTATAGAACAATATCATTGATTCACATGCAAGCAAGATTCTACTGAAGATTATCCAAAATGACAGGAACAATACACCAGCAGAGAACTGCCAAAAGTCCAGGCTGGGTTTAGATGGGGTCGTGGTACTAGGGATATTGTAGCTAATGTTAGATGGATCTTGGCTGAAAGCAGGGAATACCAGAGGAATGTCTATCTGTGTTTCATTTACTATGCAAAGGCGTTTGACTGTGTGGATCATAACAAAGTGTGGCTGACTCTGAGAAGAATGGGAATCCCAGAACACTTGATTGTGCCAATGAGAAAACTATACTTGGACCAAGAGGCAGTCATCAGAACAGAGCAAGGAAACACTGCATGGGTCAAAATTGGGAGGGGCGTACACCAGGGATGTGTCCTGTCTCCATACCTTTTCAAACTATATGCAGAACAGATCATCCACGAGGCTGGGCTCTATGAGGAGAAATGTGGGGTCAAGATTGATGGAAGATCTATCAACAATCTGCGTTATGCAGATGACACAACTCTGCTTGCTGAAACTGAAGAGGACCTGAAGCGTTTGCTGCAGAGGGTCAAGGACTGCAGCCTCCAATATCGATCGAGGCTCAATGTCAAGAAGACAAAGATTCTCACCACTGGGCCAACTGGCAGAGTCAGGATGGATGGTAAAGAGACTGAGATTGTTCACAGCTTTAGTTTGCTTGGCTCCAGTCAACACTCTCATCACCAGTAGCCAGGAAATTAAAAGACATATTGCCATGGGAAAGTCTGCTGTTAGGGACCTCTCCAAAGTACTGAGAGACTAAGGTGCATCTGATACAGGTCATGGTCTTTGCTATCACTTGTTATGCATCAGAGAGTTGGACAATGACTAAGGAGGATAGAAGGAGAATTGATGTCTTTGAGCTGTGGTGCTGGAGAAGAGTATTGAGGGTTCCATGGACTGCTAGGAAAACAAACACTTTCATCGTGGAAAGGGTTAAACTGGGCGGCTCCTTGGAGACAAGGATTCTGAGGCTCTGTCTAACATACTTTGGACATGTTGTAAGGAGGGACCGGTCTTTGGAGAGGGACATCATGCTTGGGAGGGTGGAGGGACCACGCAGGAGGAGAAGGTGGATTGATTCAGTGACTGGGGTAATCAGGATGGGTGTATTGGAGACAGTGCTATTGGCACAGGACAGAGCAGAGTTTAGGGCTGTTGTACACAAGGTCGCTATGAGTCGCAAGTGACTCAACGGCACATAACAATAACATACAGATTTAATAGGAATGCAGAGAGGATATAACCCTGATGCACATCTTTCTTCATTTTAAACCATGTAATGTTCCCTCGCCCTGTTTGCACAACAGCCTCTTAGTATAAAGTATAGGTTTTTGCCTAAGCAAAATTAAGTGTTCTAGGATTCCCATTTTTCTCAATGTTAGCTATAACTTATGATTCACACAGTTAAATGCCTTTGCATAGCCAATAAAGCATGACATTCTTCTATTATTCTTTACTTTCAGTCAGGATCTTATCTGACATCAGCATTAATATTCCTGGTGCTATGGCCCTTTCTCTATCCTTCTTGAACTTCTGGAAGTTCCCTATCCATGTACTATTCTACCCACTTCTGAATGTCCTTCAGCAGTAGTTTGCTTGCATGTGATATTAACGATACTGTTAGACATTTATCACATTCTGTTGGATTACCTTTTTGGGAATGGGAACACATATGGATCTCTTCCAATCAGTCACCAGTTTATTATGGTCTAATGCTTTTTTCATTTAGTCTTATTCAAATATATTTCTAAAAGAATATATTTTTTAGCTTTCAGTTACATAAAAAATTGAGAAGATTGCCCATTTTTCTCTTGTGAGGCCACTGGTGGATTTGAACCACCAAGAAAGATGCTACTTTTGGAAGAAAAAGAAAGCCTTATTATTTTAAAAAAAAATAAATTCTTGTATAAGGTAAAGCTTTACTCTTGTTACCTTTTTTAAAAAAATTTCTATGAAACAAAGATAATAACTGATGATAAAAGTGACCTTTCCCAATACCCTAAATAAATGCTCATTATTCAATGCTCACACACCAATTCAATGACATCACTTCTTTGCAATGCTTCTCTTTCTATTTATGTTCCACTGAGTCAAATGTTAAAATGATGTCTTGCCCTTTATTAATAACAAGCGTATTATGACCCAAAACTAATTTAGACCAAAACAAACCATCAAATCACGCACATCATGCAAC